TGAAGCTCACGGTTGTTAGCCTATATAAAGGCCTCTCCTTTAACCTCACGAGGTACGTGTGATTTAGCTCTCTCGCTTTCTAGCTCTCCAAGTACTTATCGTTGGCTTAAGCATCGGAGTGTCCACCACTAGTAAAGCAACCAAGACACTCTGATTTCTCTCTCTTTGCAGCTCGACAAGGCGACCTCTCTAGCCCGGCRTCTGAGTTGTCCGCCAACAGGGAGAACCAGATTGCRCATCATCAGATAGCATTAGTGTTGTCAATGGTTATGGGTCAACCAGATGGRCCTGGCCCAATACAGAGGGTYTAGGTCTGCATTTTGAGTTCCAATATAATAGGATCCGGATTCAGGATTGGTTTTACCAATTCTGACCTGATTAAGACCTGAAGTGACTTATACACGTTTTTTCATGGTTTACCTAATAATAATTTCATATAAGATGTCAATAATTACCTTTAATGTATTATATTGTTTATACATTATATTTATAATTTTTTGAGGCTTGCACCTTGCCTCTCCATGCCCAACAGACTCAGATCTGCCTTTAACCTTTAAAACCTTGATTCCAAGATACAGTTCCCAAATTTTCACGAAAATTTTACTTTATTAAACTGAAGAATGCACAGAAAGCACTATAGCTATATGTYGTAAAAATTTTGAAATCATTTTCACTTTTCAGGCCAGATTTCAATTCTAAGTCTTCATATAAAATATATAGTCTCTGTATCAACACATAAAATATCTCAATAACTTACAGCTTTATCTATGATAGCATTTACAATTAATTGAAACTTCAAGCACCTTTTTTATGAGTAGTCAAATAAAACATCATTTACTTTGTATAAATATTTTGGTAATAGAAAAGGGGAAACCAAAAATAACTTCGCTGTATCCCACCCTAAACAACCTGCCATGGACTAACAACCAGCCATTAAAAAAATATTATACCTTTTTCAACTGTGTATATATATATATATATATATATATAGAGAGAGAGAGAGAGAGAGAGAGAGAGAGAGAGAGAGAGAGAGAGAGAGATTTGATAAGAATTATATCTGTGCTACCTAGATATGGATAACAAAATCAATGATTTAGTTCAATATCTTCAATAATAGTGAATGCTGACCTTGGTAATCTGGTTGTCTTGAGGAAGCAATTATGCGAGAATTGCCAACTCGCGTACTGACTCTCCTCTTATGTGAGATCCTTGGGTGCCCATCCAATGAAGTACTAGCCAGGTGCCACCTGATCGGAATGCTGCCACGAGCTGCAAATATAATATGCCTTAACGAGAGTGCCTCCATCCCTGCAGTTATGCAAGAG